AGTTGGGAAGTCTTTTGTCAGCCCCTTTGGGGCTGTATTCGTAATGTTAAATTAGTAATTACTTAACATTGAGGAAGTCATTCCAGTAAGCAAAATGACACATGAAAACCTATTTTTCTTTATTCTGACTTTGTAAAACAGCAACCTGCGGGGATCAAGTTTAGAGAGGAGGCTGCATGGCCCAGGTGTGCCAGGTGTTGTTCCTTTGCGGAACTACAGCTCCCAGCGTTCCCCTGGACTACGGACACATTCCCAGAAGCCCTTGCATTCCTCATTAAAAGGCGAGGGTCGCCATGACCCCTCCCCTTTTTCCCCCCACCTCTCCTGTTGTCTCTGCACACCTGTACCTACCTGCCGTTACCCCTCCCCCATTAAAGTGCACCCACGTGGGACCGCCGCGTAACGTCTTTACCCTTTAACCCCGCAGACAAGAAAGCCAGCGTAAATAAGAACAACAATTGGTGCCGTAAATAAGAACAACACCAGGTGTCTGCAGAAAGGAGCAATATCTGACCTTTCACATTGCAGGGGCGTCCTGGAAGTGGACTGGGGCAGGTATACTGTCAGGAGGCCATCGCTCACAGCCCCTTAGCGTGGCTTTCCCAAGCCTTACTGAGCCTTCTGAGCTCTGATACCTTCTCTCCACCTAGCACGTGCTGTGGTTTCCTCCTCTCCCCACTTTCTGTGGAAACTGGGCCTAAGAGACAGAGAGCACCAGCTTCCCAGCACCTCAAATAACAGTGTGTCTCCTCTTGGACCTACCTTCTGCTCCCCCAGTCCAGCAGGAAGGAAAACTGGAGATCCCTACCCACTGCTCAAGTTCATCTGGGGTCTTCTCTGAGCTGAGACCTGTTCTATAGGTGGCAGTCTGAAGTGGGCAAGGAGGCCCTCCTCCTTTGCCTGTTTACACTGAGCAGGGAGGTAGAAATGAGGAGTAGTGTCTATCCAGTTTCTTGGCTTACACTTGGAGAACCTACTCTAGGTACTGAGAACCTCGGAGTCTCCTGTGCAAATGGACTTGCACCCTTCTCAGGGCCACTGAAGACTTGTTCCTCGGTTCAGTGCATTTCCCCAGGTCCTAAGAGGTGGCCAACAGGAGGTGGTGGTTTGATGCACGGAACTCCACGTGTGTTCACATGTCACGATGAACTGTGGAGCAAGGGGCTCATGGTAGCTGGGAGAGCTTTCTAAGCATCTTGACCAGCAATTTCCAAGTTTTCCCTACCACTGGGGAGTCCTCTATCAGCCACCTTTTACATGGCAGGCTCTGACTTTCATACTTCAAGCCCATTATCAGAAGAAAATGAACAGCTTGTCTTCCAACCAACAACAACAGCCTGATCCTCAATATCCACTGTATTTCCTGAGCTTTTCTGAGACAATAAACCAGGCACTCTGTGTCTCAAAATACGGAGCGGCTTAACAAGCACGATATTTACTTGCAATCTTTAAGTCTTAACCGGGATCAAGACTGTTTAACTGGTACATTCAGTCTGCTGTCGCTAGCATCGCAGCAATGCTCCAGTAGCCTTTAGTGAAAGAACTGTGGCACTGGTGAGGGACCCTGGAACTTCAAGGAGCAGTAAGGACGCTGGAGAGGCGGCTCACAGAAGGGGCACATCTTGCAGCAGAGGTAAGACAGGTTTTCCCAGCTTCCAGACATGGCTGGACATTTGGAAGAAAGTCAGCTAGTTGAATATGGGCCACAGGCGTTCAGTTCACTGCGCCATTCCAGTGCTCAGAGGTCACGTGGGAGTTTTGCATGCAGTGAGGTGTACTGTGCAGGCAGTGGGCAGTGACCAGTGCGTCCACGATGGAAGAAGAGGTTTCCAGCCAACTTAAAGCCTTTGTATTTATGTAGATTTCCTCCAGCACTCACCTCACACTCTCTATAGGCACTGTCTGTCAACGCTCTGTTGCTCAGTTCTTGATGACTCTGACAACTACACGCAGGCAGCCACATCCATCTGGGAAGACAGAATCTCTTCTTCCATACTAGACTGGGGATCCCCAAGAACGGGAACTGATACTCTTCTTGCTCCTTATAATCTCCACCCTCCAGAAGTAGTGTATAAAGGGCAACCAACAGGTACTGCATACCTATGACTTGTAGTGACTCTGGATGGGGGATGCTAAAAAATGAGCCAGTATCAACCAAGAACAAACAGGGGAGTGGAAATCACCGGGACTGTAGGAGGCTGGAACCAGAAGAAATGTAACTTCCATACCAGAGGAGGGATATGGATTGAGGCCCCAAGGGAGGAAGAAACACAGTTATTGAGATTGACAAAAATGGAAACTGAGGGCGAGTGCAGAGACCCGAGGAGGAGGCGAGATTGCAGAGATGGTGGGTTTCTGACTGTGGACCATGAGCTTCATTCTAGGGATTGCAAGAAGACAATGGAGGGTTTCAAATAGGGAGCACGATCTGAAAATCATGAGCCTGTCACCTGGAATTGAATGAAACTACTCAGCCACAGGCACCAAAATTGGAAGCAAGGAGACAGCCCATAAGGGAGATGGTAACTCAGGCCTTCGGATTTATTGGAATGGCTGGGAAATGTATAGACTTGGAAGGCAGAGGGGCTTAGACATCAAGGGATTCTCCGTTTAAAAAATGGAGCAAGAAGATTCTGGTTCAATCATAGCTACTCATAATGACTCCCAGGTGTAGTAGGTTGAGTGTCAGGCTGCTTGTCCCAGCTGCCTGGCTAGCTTAGTCCCCAAAATAATCACACAGAAATTGTATTAATTAAATTACTGCCTGGCCCATTAGCTCTAGCCTCTTATTGGCTAATTCTCACATCTTGATTAACCCATTTCTATTAAATCTGTGTATCACCACCTGACTGTGGTTTACCAGCAAGATTCTAACCTATGTCTGTCTCAGGCCAGAGGTTCATGGTGTCTGCCTGTCTCTGCTTTCTTCCTCCCAGAATTCTGTTCTGTCTTCTCCGCCTACCTTAGTTCTGCCCTATCAACTAGGCCAAGGCAATTTCTTTAATAACCAATGAAAGCAACACAAATACAGAAGGACCTCCTACACCACCCAGGAAACACTAAAAATGTGTGTCTAGAGGGATTTGACCCTGTGACATAATTTTGAAAATCCCATAGTGGCACCACAAAGCATTTGGTAAAACAAGACAGCTGTCAAAAAGACAACTGGAGTTTAGGAGGAAAAAAAAGAAAGAGCTGACATTTTAGAAACCAAGGGGAGAATTTTAGCAAGAAAGCAATTAGTGAGATGAAGATTGAATTTGGTATTTGGAAACCAAATGGTGTTACACCCACTTGTCTGACTCCTTCCTACTGGGATTCAGTAAACATTACAAGAAGCAGGTCAATAGGATGTTCCATGCTCAATATCCTCAGAGATACATTCACAAGATTCAGATTGGGGGTCAAGGTGAATTGGGTACATCGGCTGCTTATTACAATTTGAACTGAGGCAAAAAGTGGATAGTCACCAGCTCAGGAGCTAGGCATTCTCAGGAAAGAAAACAATGGGAACAAAGTATGAGTTCAGAGACCAGAATATTCTAGGAAATAGAATTTGTCCCTGGCAGGGGCACAAAGAATTTGTTGTTGGGAATTGAACAAAAGAAGAGGATTAAGCCTCAGTTATTAAGGACTTAATGTACCAAACTAAAAAGTTATCTGGTTTTTATCTGGAGGATAAAGGGGTCCTGTATATAAGAATGTTAAGTGCTACAGTCAGATTTAAAAGCCCGTTCTAGCAGGCTGTGGAAGTGGCCTTGGAGCCAAGGATAGATTAGGAACAGTGACTGTTCAGACTTCCATTTGGAGGCTGACACAGGGATCACGTGGTTGGTTGAGGCACTGGGATAGGAACAGTGAAGACAGGAATTAGGCTGAAGGGGTGACTGGAATAAGATTTGCGAGAATGACTGCTGGCTGGAGGCGCGAGTCCTTGTGACAGGGACTAGAGTTCGATGAGGATGGGAAGGAGAGCTGGCACAGGAAACAGCATTTAAACACCAGAAGAGGTGCCAGTAATAGTATTGTCAGTTCCTGTTCCCTTAACTGGTCCTTCCTCTCTGCCTCAGTCGAAAGCCTGTTTCAAACATCCACTTATATTGCTGCTTTAGCTACTGACTTGTAGGGACACACTCCTTTATTCTGAACGTCACCCAAACATAATTATAGTGCACCAACTACTTGCAAGTCACTGTAACTGGGGACAGATATATTTATCCCTAGTCTAAAGACACAATTGGCAGTCACCTTACAGAAATATTATTATATCCTAACCAAAAGACATGCATTGCCTAGTTAGAAACCATTAAGGTAGGTCATGGCATAAAGGCTCTGGAGAAATACAGCGCAGGATGAGGCAAAGAACAAGGCGTGAGGAATTGTGATTCCTGAATTTGTTTAGATCTGCAACCTCCCCGACACGAGTATGTAAGATTTTGTCTGTTGATGGGCACTTGGTGAAGAGAGTGGAGGTCAGGAATGGCAACAAGTGGTCTTGGATCCTAAAAGACTGAAGAACACTACCTTTCTAGTCTATTGTGCAGTACTGATACAAAAACTTCAGCACGAATAAGAAATAGGACCGAACAAATAGCTCGGTAATCTGCTAGTGCTCTGATATTTAACTTCCTTTATTCTTACAGCCAATGAGATGGGCATTGGGGCACTTGACTGTAATCCTGGCATTTGGGAAGTGGAGAATGGGTTGGAATTCAAAGCTAACCTTGGGTACATGAGTTTGTGGCAAGCCTGGTCTACACAGAGAGCTACAGGACTCTGTCTAAAAATCAAGAAAAAAAATTAATAGTTACTAAAAGATCGGATGATCACTGAGGCCCTACAAGAAGGTGCCCAGACCAAGGCTCACAATCTCATCAGCAGCCACCAGCTCGACTCCTTCCGACCCGGAAGGAACACTTCCAAGCCCCGCCTCCTAGGAGCAGATAGGGAGGAGTCCATTAGGCTCCTGGTGACCAGCAGTCTCGGAGCATCAACACGGAAGTAACCTTCAGCCGGAAGTTCCTGGGCCTGCCTGAGGAGGGGTGGGGGCGGGGAGCCGCAGGCGGACTGCGGGCAGGATGGCGGCTCAAATTCCAATCGTGGCTGCCACTTCTACTCCGATCATAGCCAGGAACAGCAAGAAGAGGCCAGCCAGTCCTTCCCACAACGGCAGCGGTGGGGGATATGGCACCAGTAAAAAGAAAAAGCTCTCCGCCTCCAGCTTTGCTCAGGTACGTTGTCCGCACGGTCCGGGGACGAGAGCGCATGCGCAGGCTCTAGAGGAGCCGAGCACGCTTGCGCAGGGCGGAGCGGAAGCTGCGGCGCGTGCGCAGTCCAGTGGGATGGTGCTGGTTGGGAGGTGTGGCTCGGTTCCAGCAGGAGAACGTCGGAATTCCTGGTGGAAATTAGTGTTTTTGAGTCATAGGCCGGACCTATGGCTTTGGTTAGAAGTCAGCCGCATCATAGCTTAAGGTGGGAGGTTATAATCGGCTTAGTAGAAGGGCCGCCCGGTTCTGTTAGGACTTGTTTTCTGTATCAGCAAGGGAAGTTCGCGGACACCCATAGCGTCTTAGGCAGACACCCCTGAAAGCCTGAGGGGTCGCCCCAGTGTGCAACATGGAGGAATGCAAAGATGACTGATACCTGTGGCTTCCTTCATTCTTTTTTACCTGTGTTAAATCTGAAAGTTAAGAGGTTGAGGTCTAGCCGGCGGTGATAGCACACGCCTTTAATACCCACACCCCGGAGGCGGAGACAGGCGGGTCTCTGAGTTCCAGGCCAACCTGGTCTATGGAGTTCCAGGGGATCCAGGGGGAAACTCTGTCTCGAAAAACAAACAAACAAAACAAAAAGGAGGAAAAGAAAGAGATTGAGGTCAATGACGAAAGTGCGGAGCACAGCGGATTGGCGCAGCAGACTGACAACAGCTGGTGGAGACCAGCAGTGGTTTGGTTGGGCTTGTGTTTTTCCCACTGTAAGGATGGTTATGCTCCTCAACTTGTGTGGTGCGCTTGCTCAGCGACTCTGTCATTGTCACCACTTCCACCTCCTTTTTTGCATTTTCTGGGGTGTTTGCATGCAGTGAAATACACAAACCATACATTGTCTCCACATGAGAACATTCCTGAGAGGCCCAGAAAACTCACGCTGATCTTGTCCTCCTGCCTCAGCCTTGCAATTCTGTCACTATGCCCTTCCCTCCCTGCCACAAGTAACCACTTTTCTGCCCTCTTCTACCTCGGTTAGCTTTATTTATGTACCCCTTCTTCCTCTGCTCCCCAAAACAGGGTCTCTGTAGTCCTGGCTAGCCTGGAACTTGTTCTGTAGACCAGGCTGGCCTCAAACTCAGGGATCCACTTGTCTGAATGCTCCACTCTGGGCTTGTTTGTTTTGTTGGGGTATTATTATTATTATTATAATTATATCTTTGGTTGTTTCGTGTTTGGAAACAGGATCTCATTATGTTTCTCAAGCTACCATAGAACTCAGTATGTATTGCAGGTTGGGATACAGACTTAAATTGCTAATCCTCTGTTTCAGGCTCCTGAATGTTGAGATTAGGCATGCTTTATCATGCCCAGCTCTGTTCTGTACTCTTGATTTGATTCTTCATGAGCTGTATAATGTGTATTCTCTTGTAGTTATCCATAATGTGATTTAATGTTCACTTATGCAGAGACCAAGCAATACAGTCACTACATTAAGATGAATTTCTGTTCTTGATTTTTTTTTTTGCGTTTTGTTTTTTGATTCAGACTCTCAACAATATAGACCCTTGTGATATATAGACCAGGCTAGCCTTGAATTTACATAGATCCACCTACCTCTTCCAGTTCTGGAATTAAAGACCAGTTTTACCATGCCCTGCTCTTTGTGGGCCACCTTTGGTTTGGTTTGGTTTGAGACAGGATCATCTTGCCTTGTACACATTGGTGGCCTGAAATAACTGGTCTTGTAGCAGTTTTCCTGCCTCAGCCTTCTTACGGACATCTGCTATACCATTCCTGGTCTGAATTAACATTTTTCTTTTTTCCAGTCTTTTGAGACAGAATCTTGCTGTATAGCCCAAGCTGACTGTACCCCAGACTGGACTTCTTATTCCAAATTACTGTCAAATCAATCAAATCTGTTGTATTTGATTCTTTTTGTTTTGTCTTTCAAGACAGGGTTTCTCTGTGTAGCCCTGGTTGTCCTGGAACTTGCTCTATAGACTAGGTTGGCCTCCAACTCAGAGATCCTCCTGCCTCTGCCTTCGTCTCCTGAGTGCTGGGTTTAAAGTCGTGAACCACCACCCCTAGGCTGCTATGTTTGATTCTTAAATGATGACAAAACACCCCAGGAGGAAGACAAGGTTGTCCTGAAGTCCCAGACCCAGTCATGGGGGCTGCTGTTGGCAGGAGCCATTGTTCAGCAGACGCGGGGGGAGGGGAGAGCCCCTTGCACCAGTGTCTTACAGCAAGACTAGTATCGCTACCCTGGGACCTACACCGTCATCTTTAGTAATGGGAAGAGAGCATAACCCTTAGTTCTGGGCATTACTTTCCCATCTGTCTTGGCCTTTCATGTCTCAGGGCTGGATATTCCATCTCTTAAAGTCTCTTGGTGTTAATGGTACTTTCATGACATGGAAACCGTAGATCATCATGTGTCTTATTTTAACTGGGGCAGAGCATTGTAGACTTGATTTTCCCTCTGACTAAAGGCCTTCCTGTCATCCTGACTCAGTACTGACTCGGAGGTTGTGAATGGGAGAACGGGGAGATAAGGGTGGAGTCACATGGGAGTGGGTTTAAGAGGAAAGACAAACAGAAACCAGAAAGCTCCCTGGGGTTTATCTGGGTAGAGGTGGCTTAGAGCCCTACACTGCTGGAGAAGCCGTAGCCTTTCATACTCCACAGCAAGTACTCTACCGCTGAGCCAATTCCCAGACCGGCATTCCCTAGACTGCCGCCTGGGACAGCGAGCTCTGGTCACCCACACCCCATTACAGTCAGCAGAAGCACTTTGTTTTGTGGGGTGACCTCTCCCTGGCAGAACTTTACAACTGTCTGTCTAATCTACACTGACTTGCTGCCATGGCTGCTTTTCCCAGGGGCCCCTGGAGGCTCGGGCACTGGAGTTGGCCGTGCTGTGTCCATAGTACTCTTGTCACAGTTGTCGTGAGAGATGTTAAGGACCAGGTTTCTTTCCCCTTAGCATCCCTTTGCTTCCTTAGCAGTTCACCTTGTTTGGCCTAGATGACCTCTTTTCTCCTGACTGGAGGTCTCCGAGATCCTCTAATTAGCAGCTTGTCTTTTCCCCTTTTGCCCTGGATCACAGCCTCTTCAAACAGATTTCAGGGCCAGGCAGGTGGCTCAGTGGTAGAAGGGCTAATGTAGCAGTCCCCGTGCCCTCTCATGTGCTCCAAAAATACATGCAAGGAGATTTCAGTGTGCGTCCCCTCCCTCCTTCTCTCTCTCTCTCTCTCTCTCTCTCTCTCTCTCTCTCCCCCTCTCCCTCCCCCTTCCTCCCTTCTTCCCCCTTCCTCCCTCCTCCCCCCTCCCTCCTCCCCTTCCTTTTTTTTTTTTCTCAAGACAGGATCTCTACATAGCCCTGGCCCTGGAACTAGCTCTGTAGGCCAGGTTGACTTTGAACTCACAGAGATCCGCCTGCCTCTGCCTCTTGCACTGGTATTGAAGGCGTGCACCACCATCACCCAGCTCCAGTGTGTTTCTTAAGGCTTAAGGTTTGGCATAATGCCGGGAAGACTGTAGTAATGGAGGGTGATGGGAGAACGACACTGAGGAGTGATGTGGGCAGAGGAGAGGAGTCCAGGTAGAGACCATGCAGAGACCCTGAGAGGAGTCTGAGAAGGTGGTTAAGGAGAGAGCGTTCTGAGAATGGTTGTGACAGTGAATGACCCTCTCTTCTCATTTCTAGTCACGTCACAGATCCCACAGAGAGGGCACACACACAAACACATGTACTTTCTCAGGAACACAGTCTTCACTCCTAGGTAAATGTTCAACGGAAATGAAAGCACGACAGCTGTTGTAGTTTGGTTTCTTTTTTCTGGGGAAGGTTTTGCTTGAGACAGGCTCACACTATGTAGTTTACATAACAGACTTGTTATGTAGACCAGGCTGGTCTCAAACTCCCAGAGATCTGCCTGCTTCTGCCTCCTGAGTGCTGAGATTGAAAGTGTGTGTCACCATGCCTGGACTAGTTTGATTTTTGTTTCTGATAAACACCATGACGAAAAGTAACTCCTGGTAGAGAGGTAGGTGCTTGTGTATGGCAGCTTTGTTTATGATTGAACATTGAAAGTAGACCAAATGGATAGATAGGTTTTACCACATCCACATAGTGATTTCTTCTCTGCTGAGAAAGAAATTGATGACGCAAACCACTGAGCCATATGAAGGCGTCAGAACTCCAGGTATAAGACACATACTGTCAGGTTTCTTTTGGAAGAAGTTCTGGAAGTAGAAGTGATGTAGCAGAATCAGCATGTTGGTTTCCCTTGGGTCTGGGAGGGATTGGCCAGGAAGGGGCAAGAAAGTGTTCTGGAATGGTGGTGGTGTTCGGTGCCTCGGAAGGGTTTGGTTGTACCAGTGTCAGAACTGGAAACTCGTGAAACCTCTACCTGACTCGTAGGCAGCTCGCTTTGTGAAGACAATGCCTCTGTTCCTAAGATGTTTGTTTGGAAATTGGTTTAGAAGCCAGACAGCGTTTCTTACCTCTGCCTCTTTTCTCTTGTGTTGTTAGCGTAAAGGCTTGTTTTAAAACTGCTTTGCAGGACACTGTGTTCCAGCAATAGCCAGCTGGCCCACGTCCCTCCAGCTTCCTCTTTTTCAGAATTCCCGTGTCCTGTTGTCCCCAAATGCAGACTAGCTCCAGCCTGGATTTTCTGACCAAAATAGACCCTTGAGGTCCAGATTCTAAGGCTAGCTTTCCTATTTCGAGACATAGTTGACAAGATCATCGAGATATAAAGACTACGTGGTGTCATAGAATGGAATTAGATTGAAAAGGTGTGTGCTATGCTGTGTAGCCTTAAACCAGTCCACCTGTGCCTCAGTTTTCTGTAAGATGAGGATAGCCACACTTCCTTAGCAGTTGTCAGAGTTAATGAGACAGCTGGCGCATGTCTATCTTGTTGAAAACAGATGTGAAGAACCCACCTGGATTGGCTTCAAAGATTTTTTCTTTCTGTGTTTTAAGGGTGCCAGCATTGAAGCCGTGAGTGAGAATAAAATGGTGTCCTCTGAGTTTAGTTCGGGGCCTGTGGAAAAAGCTGCCAAACCGCTGCCTTTTAAGGATCCCAACTTCGTGGTAAGCATATAAGATGCTATACAAATACAGGGGTGAACAGCTGCACCTCAGCTCCGATGTAGCTGGGCCTGAGTTGGGTCGGGAGTCCCCTTCTCCCTCAGTTTCATTTGATGGACGGATGGGATGGGGCTGGAAAGGCCTTTCCAGAATTCCCCAGAGGATAGAACTTGGAGGGTGATCTTTCCCATGGTTGTTCCCCTACGCTTTTACTGGCCTTCAGTTTTAAAAGAAGTTTGAAATAGATAACTAAAATAGGAGAACTCCTCACCAATTCCTTTAGATCCCTTTCATTCATGAGGGCTATATTAAATAATCAGTTTTAGTGACCCAAATTATACCTTTAAACATTTATTTATTTTTTATTAATGAGTCTTGGCATCTATTGTAACTGGAGTCTGCAAATACGTTAGTATTCTTTTCCATTTTATTTTTTAATCTTTATAGCACAAACAGAAATTTCCAGAAGGCTTGCCATACCATGATTAAAGCCTGCTTGGGGTTTTCAGGACCACTGGTGATTAGGAGGCCAAATTACACACCCTCAGAGGGGAGTTTAGAGATGTGATCTTAAGGCGAAAACCAACTTTGTGGCAAACTTATTTTAAAGGGATGAGGTCATAAGTGAATTCAAGTAGGCTGAACCCAGGAAGGGATTTGCTTTCCTGTGTACATGCTGAGAAATAGCCATTTGTTGGTTTCTTTCTTTCTTTCTTTCTTTCATTTATTTATTTATTTTGAGAAAAAGTCTCCTATAGCCTAGGCTGGCCTCAAACTCATCCTGTAACTGAGGCTGGCCTTGAACTTCCAGTCCTGCCTCCACCGTGAATAGCTTAAAACTATGTTCTTCCAAACAAAAATAAAAGTATACGGTGAGGTATTTTTAAAAGTCTCAGTGACACCAATAGTTGCTTCCAGACTGAGAGGTGCCTGACAGCTCTAGCGGGCTTGGTGTCGGGTTTGCCAGGCGCATCTTAAACTGACTCGTCTCTTCTAACCCACTTTTCATTTGAGCACTCTGGCCACGGCGGCGCAGTAGCTGGCAAGAAGAATAGAACCTGGAAGAACCTCAAACAGATCCTCGCTGCTGAAAGGGCATTGCCATGGCAACTGAATGATCCTAACTGTGAGCATCTAGAGCCTTCCATGTGTTGGTAATGCAGACAGGAACTTCCCTACAACAAGCCTACATTATTTGCTCATGTTTGTGTTATCGCGGGTGATGTTCTTAGCCTGAGAACTGTAGGGTGGCACCATCCAGGGATATTATGCATGCATCCCCCCTTCACTGTGTCTGTGTTGAGTTCGTTTGTTTAGTTTTTAGTGTCATTATTTGAAATTTCAATCTGGAGAAGCAGGTCCCGCTGTGATAAAGATGGTGTTTCTAGTAGATCTCTCATTTAAACATCTCCTCCTTACATTTGTTTCACAAGCAGCGTAGCCTACCTGTGATGTGGGATTTGGGAGAGTCTCCATCAAGCAGCTTACAGGCCACACACTTACTCTCTGAGTAAATACCTCCTGCCTTAGTATGTCCAGACCTGGGCAAAGCCCGTTAGATGTTTCTGTTCGACTACACTGGAAACTTCAGGTTCCAAGATCTCACCACCTCCTGTCCTGCTGAGCGTCTTCCATGGGGTGACTCAGATGGTGACAAGTTAGTCATCTGGGTGTGGACCACTTGAGTCTGGGTGTGTGGATCCAGTTAGTGGCTGTGTGGCCTTTCATCAGTGGAAGCCCATTTGAGCTGGAGACTGTGACATGGCCTGTGGGTAGATGAACCTGGCAGTTCCACTGGGGTAGCTTGTCTCTGGGGGCAGGGCAGGACCGTAGCTGAGGCCGGCACTTAGTCTGCGACTTACACAGTCTGCTATTTTTGAGAGACCTCCCTTGTTTCTCTGGTTAATCCCCGGAGGCTTCTGCAAGTGTGTAATCACAAAGGAAATCTCAGGACTATTATCACATGTTACCTTAGAATAAAGGAGAAGGAATTCGGATAGTTTGAAGGTTATTTGGTCATCTTTTTTTTCTTTTCTTTCTTCTTTTTAGACTTTAGTATTGATGCTCCTCCATCCTTTAAGCCAGCTAAGAAGTATTCCGATGTTTCAGGCCTTCTTGTGAGTATAATTACATCTGACTATACTAGCATTAAATGTAAGATTTCACAGTCAAGTCTGTCTAAACCAGTGGTCCTGCCTGGAGCAGGCTGTGACCTGAGTTTCTGGGTTGTCGGGAGAGGCCATTGCTCCAGAAAGCAAGACACAGAATTCTCACTTCTTTTTTCCTTGATAGTTAACTGTGCGAGACAGCATGAATGAACAGCCATTTCTGCTTTTACTCTTAAGGTTTTAAAATACTGATTTTACACAATTAGTGGTACTTTAAAGAAAATCTCCTGGACTGGCGATGTAGCTCAATGGTAGAGCATCTGCCTAGTGTCCCTAGCACCGAAGAATGCATCTTTAAGTCAGAGCAGGCAAACACAGTTTCTCAGCCTTTTCTCCAGTGAAGTGGTATATGTAACCCACATATCTAAAAGAGCCGGAGCCCCCCTCTCTGTGTGGTCCTCTGGATCTGGTCCTCTGTCCTCCTTCCTAGTCCACCACCTTGACCCCTCCCATGCTGCTGCATCAGAGCTGCACTGAGGCAAGCGTTGTTGATGGGGGTGGGGTGCACTGAGCTCCCGCTTCCACTCTTGCCGAACAAAGAGTGGGTGCAGAACCTGTAAGGAAATTTCAGCTCACCTTCATCCTTCTTCATCTCTTGGAAATTTGAAAAGTGAGATTTTTCTGCAAATTATAGAAATGATGAAGCGTGCTACTTCTAAAATTTACCTGTATATCATTTCAATGCTTTGCAGTTTAACGAGGATAGCTGCACCATCTGTCACAAACTGGCCAGATTAATTCTATACATTATACCAGGAAGTGTGCTTCTTCCATCATTGCATAATCTCCTCTCTCAACTCTTTCTGAGGTCTGCTTCTGTCTGAATTCATAGAGCTATGTGCTTGTGTTAGGGTGTTTGTTCTCCTGAAGGCTTGTTTGCTGTGAACTTGGCTCCCACTGTGGTGTTGAGCTGTTGAGAGGTGGGCCTGATGAAATAATGATGCTTCTTAGAAATGGATTGCTTCAGGTCAGCTCCCATAGGATGGACTAGTTTCTGCAAGAGAGTGCTGTCATGAAAAGAGCCTCTTCCTTTCTCTGTCTTTGCTTGCACACATGCCTTTCCTTTGCTTGGCCTGTTCTCTTCACACCATGTTGAAATGCATGCAGTGCTCCTGACCTCTGAGCTCTCTCTCCAGCACTGTAAGCCATGTTTCTTCATAGAACACTGTTTCAGCTTTCTTTTTGTGCAAGTTTGCATGGCTTATCTCATGTGAGTGTTTTGCCTTTGTCTGTATCTTTGTATGAAGAGGGAGTTTCTTATAGAGTGGGTCTTGCTTTGTATCCACCTGGCAGTGTGACACCAGATAGATTTATGTGGTTCACATTTCAGTGAGCATTACTGTGGGTGTGTAGTTGGAATTTTCTTTGGGCAGCCAACCAGCTCTCAAATAAAGACACGGAAAGTCATATTAATTATGACTGCTCAGCCTTAGCTCAGGTTTGTCTCACTAGCTCTTTTAACTTAATTTAACCTGTTTCTATTCATCTTATGTTTTACTGTGGGGCTTTTTTACCTTTTTTTCATTCTGTATATCCTACTTTCCTGGTCTTCCATGTCTGTCTGGCCCCTGTCATCTTTCTGTCATTTCCTTTTCTTTCTTCCTTTCTTCCTGAGCTTAAATTCCTACTTCTACTTACTTTCCCTGTCCAAGAGTCCCACGTATACCTCCTCCTTGCTATTTGCTATTCAGCTTTTTTATTAGACCAATCAGGTGCCTTAGGCAGGCAAGGTAAAACAGCAACACATCTTTATGTAAGTAAACAAATGCAACACATATTTACATAGTTAAACAAATATTCTACAACATTTCTGCATTTTTGACTAAAGAAAGGTTTTAGCTCCAACATAATAAGATTATATACAATAAGAACAATTATCAAGTAAGGATTACATTTACAATATCCAGTCCATTTGGATTTGGCAAATTCAGAGAAAATGCTCCATTATTTGTCCTATCTTGATGAGTCCAAAGTTGTATACCTAATTTACTTTCTAGACCTCAAAATACTTTCTTAGATAAACAGTTTAAGCTTTTATATTTCTTAGCCTTATATATTTTACATTTCTTATGTAAGCTTCTTTGTTAAGTTTGGTAACAAGGAAAACTATAACTATCTCATTTTCAACTCCGTCAGAGACACAGGAAGGATATAATATTCCTGAGTAAACAGGAAGTGAAAAATAAACAACTTCCAAAACTATAGAAGTGACAGAAACAGCTGGCTGCCTGGATAGCCACCCAAGTTTCCTCTGCAACATTGGGGCATCCATCTTTGGCCTATAGGCCTAGAATAGCTGACAGACTTTTCTGTGAAGCAGGAATTTTGAAAGAATGTTCCACGTTGTGTTGACAAAGTTTGGCAGTCTTTTTCCTTTGTGTCCTGCTTATCCAGTTTTACAGTATACTGTCAACAGTCAAGGCCAGGGCAGTGTCTTGCCCAAATGGCTAACTGTGCCTCCATATGGAGTTTCTTTGACACCCATTATCCTTTTATGAAGCAGATTGGTTCTGCCAGGAGCAGACATGTCTCATTGTCATGAAAAACCTTAGATAATTAAACATCTTAAATGTCATATTCTGTTAGGTATCTGAAGCATTTGAAGATCACCTATCTATCTAAAATATATGTTTAACCTTGAAAACTTACCTAACATGACTGCAAGTGTGATTGTTATAGGTGACTAACTACTAACCTGCATTTTTAATTATCCTAAATAGTTTGTAATAGTAACTTTCAAGGACTAGACTTTATATTACATTTTAAAATCAATTTCATAGGTACAATACCTTAAAGAACAGTAGAAACATATATATGGTATAGCAAAAATAACCTTAAATTTGTATCAGTATACAAAAATCCATAGTAAGGTAAAATATTTGAGATGAATAGTTGTCTTTCTACCCTTTATTCCTATATCTCTACTAGATGATGACAAACATGACCCACCAAATAACCAAAAACCACCCACCCCATCTCTTGAGAATGTGGGCATTATAGTCTCTAGACTGCTTCCTATTGTTTGGGGGGGCGATGGCATCCCCAGGGAACCCTAAGAAAACTAGATATAGTATTTGTTGTTCAGTCTCTGTCATGGGAAAGTGCAAGGCTTATCTGAAGTCTTGGCTAGAATAGTCTGTGAAACTGGACCATCTCAGCTAGCAGCCTTGAAGTTGTTCTGAACACAGATCTCTGAGGAAACTGCAACAGAACTCTATCTGAAAGCCTGGATCACCTCAGCCACCTGTTTTCATTGGTATCTGGTCCCCTTGCTCTGAAAACACACAAATTTTCAAAGATAACCTACATATCTGTATTAACACAAGTATGGACTGTATATTGTACAGAAGCCAGCCAAAGATTTTTGTTTGTTTGTTTGTTTTATGTTTGATCAGGTAAAAGATATCTGTCAGCTTTATGATTGTTTGGACTCTATAACCAAACCTCTGTCCATGTCATATGAAAGGATGGCATGTAAAAATAACTCATGAGGACTCTGTAACCAACAAGATGGATCATGTCTTGTCCTGTCTCAGAGTTGTTCCCATGTCAAGGGATCAGCATATGTCACCTCTCTGGTAGTTTTTCTAGGTTTAATTCTTTATGTCTGTAGCCAAGATTTTCAGGGAGTCTTCCCCAATCAAATCTGGTCTCTATTAATGTTTCCTGTGGAAACAAAAGCATAATCTTTCCCCCAACACAATACACTTTCTGAATTCCACTTTAAAGTTAAGATATCTCTAAAGTATCTAGGCTGGTTTAATTCAGCAGTTCCTTTTACAATCCCATGTCTCTCAGCAGCTGCCATTCACTCATCAGCATTTAAAAACTTCAAAGTCAACAAAGCACCATTCAGGATCCAGATTCCCTCTGTATATCCCATCCTTACATGGCTTATTCTTTTTATATTTACTTTACTCCTTTAAAGATTTTACTTAATTATTTTAAGCTATTTTTTCCTATGACTGTCTGTACCCATTTTTTTTTTTCTTTCTTAAGCACCTACTTACACTGTAACCTGTTTAAAGTTTTTCCAGTCTGGACCTGTTTTACTGTTCACTCATAGTGTTCTCTGACCATGTGAGCAAAACCTTAAACTGTTAAGTGGCAGCCAGGTCCTCAACTGTGCGGCTCTAGTGGCTGGCTACACCCGTCCTCAGGTCCATGAGAGCCGAGCCTTAAGCCAAGAGCTGCATTTTACTGCTCCAGCTCTAGGAATTAGGTGCGCACCAGAGCTGTAGTAATAGGGGCAGCGGGGCTGCATCCCCAGCACCCCAGCCGCCCGCATGGCTAGCTTATGCCCGAAATAACAACACACAAACTGTATTCATTTAAACACTGCTTGGCCCATTCTCTTCTAGGCTAATTCTCACATATTAATTTAGCCCATTTCTAATCATCTGTGTATGGCACCCCAAGGTGCGCTTACCAGGAAGATTCTAGCCTATGTCCATCCTGGGTCGGAGCTTCATCCTGGGAGCGGGGCATGGCATCTCTCTCAGGCGTCTGCTCCCGAGAGGAGAGTTGTCGAGACTGAGCTCACTTCCTCTTCCTCCCAGCGTTCTGTTCTGTTTATTCCTCCCACCTATCCTCTAACCAATAAAATGGGCCAAGGCAGTTCCTTTATTAGCCAATGACCTTCCTCCATCACAGGGCAGGCATTTTTACTTAACTAGCTGTTTCTACTTAGCGTACTGGTTGTTCAAGTGCTCTGCTGCACAACAGTGCCTCTTAACAGAGGTATATTTTTGTCAGCTTCCTCAGACCCTATGTGTAAATTTAGGCCTCACATTGGGCGCTGTATGTAGTTGGAATTTTCTTTGCATTGTCAACCATCTCCCAAATAAAGACATGGAGAATTATTATTAATTATGAATGGTTGGCCTTAGTTTAGGCTTGCCCCACTAGCTCTTTTCACTTAATCTGACCTATTTCTCTTCATCTACGTTTTACCTCGGGACTTTTTACTTTCTTCACTCTGTATGTCCTACTTTCCTGCTTCCTCCATGTCTGTCTAGTTGGCCCCTGTTGTATCCTTTTCTTTCTTCCTTTCTTTCTGAGCCTAAATTCCTCCTCTTACTTAGTCTCTCTGCCCAGAAGTCTTGCCTATACCTCCTCCCTTGATACTGACTATTCAACTTTTTATGAGACTAATCAGGTGCCTTAGGCAGGCAAGGTAAAACGGCAACACATCTTTACATAATTAAATGCAACACATCTTTGCATAAAGAAATATTCCACAATATGGGTGAACTTAATCCACCTGTTTTCTTTGATCCATCTGCATGCCTTTATCCCTTGTTTTGGTCATGTGTTGGTCTAATTGGGCACTTTTAAACACTTTGGAACAGTTTAGTTTACAGTAAGACTGAGAGGCTTGTCGGGGGAGTTCTTACGCTCCCAATTCAGCTCATTCCATTATTAACACCTGCGGTGAGTTTTTTACGATTAGTGAACCACTAGTGATGCATTGTTACCACAGTTTATTAATTTTCTTAGTTTGGGGCCAGGTGTAGCCTAGTGATTAGCTTTGCCTCATGTGCAAAGGATGGTTTGATCCTCAGTACCACCAGCTGAGAAGGAGCATGAGAGAGAAAGGCAGGCTGAGAAGAGGTGGGAGATGAAGAAAGAAAGGCAAATATTTTTAGATTCTGCCCAAGCCCGGTGTCCTGTCTTGTCAAGGACACCATAGTCTTTAGTTGTCATAACTCTTTAGGCCACTCCTAACTGTGGCACTTTCTCAAATTTTCCTTGTTTTTGGCAGCTTTGTCAGAGGTTTGTGTGTGTGTGTGTGTGTGTGTGTGTGTGTGTGTGTTTTGAGATAGTCTGATGGACTTCTCTAGCTTGTCGTGAGCTCCTGAGTTCACGTGATCCTCTGCCCCAGCTGCGGAAGCGCTGGGACTAGAGGCCTGTGCCACCATAGCTGGTTGCGGGTCAGGTTCTTTACAGAGTGCTCTGCTATGGAACTGTGCCACGTGCTTTCCTCAAGAGGGAGCGAGGCCAACTGGGCATTTTAATTCTTATTTATGCCCCCTTTAAAAGAAGCTGAGTAGTTGCCCTCCTAGATCTAATGCTCATCTTGCCACAGAGTTTGTTTTCAGCACTACACTGCTTTTTCTGGAGTGTGAGGCTCGTGTACTAATCCCTTTCCAGCGCATTCTTGTTCTATGTTGTCATATTTGCTGCTTAAGATAGCACAAAATAGATTGTTAGTTCTTGTTTTAGTTATCTTTTAGAGAAACAAAATTTTTAAAGAATTTTTTCTTTGTTTATTCTATTCCTAGCCTTCTTCACTAGGTTGTGTATGTCCATCTAGCAATCTGATCCCACAGCTTTTCACTAGAACTACTTCCTGAGTCTCCCATGATTTCTGTTTCCTCGGCCATTGGTCTCTGAACCCTCTTTTCTGTTGAATATGTGCTGTGCTCATTTCAGTGGTCATCTGAGGCAGGAAACCTGGTGTGGCCCCCATTACTGTTCTGTCCTGAAATGGGGATCTTGCCCTATGTCATTTTGAGCAGCTGGAAGTCATGGTTTATGTACAGACTCAAAGGCTGGCTCCTTGGTATATCCGCTTTTTCCTCGACCCTGACAAGCAACCAGCAGCTGGTACAGTGGTTCTCACCTGTGAAGAGGCATAAGCGCCATTTTGAAGACCATTATTCCAGGCCTTTGTGTCATCAGCAGAGGTCTTGCTATATATATGTTACCTAAGCTTTGACTATAAGAATTAAGGTGTTAAGAACATATGAAGAACTCTACTCCCAAACCACTGACAGTTCTTTAAACGAAGTGGGGAAGAGCTAGGCTAGGCAGTGGCAGAGGAAATATGGGTGATCAGGAGTTCACCTCACCTGTAGCTAGGAAAACACTATCAGATGGAAGGACTGAGAATGTTTGATTGTATATTTCAGCCTGGATGAAGAGATTGTGTGTTCGTACACTGCTCTTTGGGAGTAGAAAGGGCATTGATGCAGCTCCCTTGAATGACAACTTGGCACATTTTCTTAAAGAAAACAAACAAAGAAAGAAACCTATGACTTGGCAGTTTGCCTTCTATGCAGCTCCCCAGAGAAATGGGATGCACAAAAAACTCAGGCAGAAATGTTTCTGAACGACTATTAGCAAAGTGTTGGGGGTCCCATGATGGTCTTTTGTTGAGATGTGCGGCTGTTTTCTGGGAGCTGGATCGATGTGGAACAGTTCCAGGGTCCATTCTTGACTAGAAAATGCCAGCAGTGTGGATTGTATGGTAAAGACACACACATACACACACACACACACACACACACACACACACACACACACACTGGGTAATTTCTCTGCTTGGTTTGTCTAGTAAGACATAAATTTTGAAAGCCTGGAAGGATCCCCACCAACAGTGGCTTTTTCAGGGGAAGCCAAAGACTCTGAGGTAGAAGATGCTGGTGAAGGCTTCTTTCTCTCTGTGGAAAGCTTTAGTTTTATTCTTTAGATGACAGTAATTCAGCTTGCCTGGGCACAGGAGGAAGGCATGGGTGTGTTACACCTGCGTTTTCCAAAGCTATGATGAACGCCATGACTCTAGAGGCTGCTGGGGGTTGTGAACGCTGCCTGTCATCCTAAAGCCAAGGCAAGGCCGAAGCAGTTTGCTGAGTCCCATGGGCAGGGAGCCTGCTTTTTCTTCCAGTCTCAAGGGACGGAATCCAGAGGAGGGTGGGATATTCTTTACTCATCTGGCTCAGAGATATAGTTTGTCTTACTCCTTTCTATTCAGAGCACTGTGTGCTGACTCCTGGCTCCAAGGCTGTTCCAGCTTTTGTCTGCGCCACAAGGTCTCTGTGTTCTTAATTGTTTATGTGGCAGCTTTCTTGGCATGAGGTGTGAACTCAGGTGGCCAACTCAGCATGGTGTAGTGGTAGGAGTGAGGCTGCCACACATGAAGCCCCAGGGAGGCTGACCGTAGCTTTATGTGTGGAGTCAGGTTATCTATTCCAGGTTCATGTCCTGCATCCTCTGAGAACATGAGGATGGCTTGCCCCGCCAGAGAGCTCACCCAACTACTGCACAGCCACGAGCTCTGAAACAGCTTTGTTACTGCTCCTCAAATCGGGCCTTTCCCTGTGTTGCTGTCATCAAAGGAAACGTAATTCACAGGAGACAGCATCGGACAGCATTCCTCCCATCCTCTGGCCCTTCCCTGTCTCTCTGCTCCTGTCCTTGAGCCTCAGAAGGGAGAGATGTTCGCTTAGGGTCGGCCGAGCACTCAACAGTCCCTCATTCTCAGCACTTTGATGAGTTCTGAGTCTCTGCAGAGGTTGGAGTCAGAAGGCCGGGATATGTGAGCATCATGAAACGAGTCTTGGATCTGCAGTTTGCAGTCCTTGAGATACCAATAAGAAGTGTCCCAGGATCTGGTGGGGCCGTTCCTCTTCCTCCAGACTGTCCCTGGAGTGCTCTTCAAGTCTGGAAAGATGAATGAGCCTGCCAAAGTGAGCAATTTAGTGGTTTTGTTTTTGTTTTGTTTTGTTTTCTTCAGTTTTTTGAGACAGGTTTTCTCTGTAGCTTTGGAGCCTGTCCTAGAACTCACACTTTGTACACCAGGCTGGCCTTGGACTCAGATCTTCCTGCCAGGGTTCAAAGGTGTGCGCCACCACTGCCTGGCACAATTATTGTTCTCGGTGACAGTGCAACATAACGAAGATGTATTTTACTTTGACTAAAGTAATAAAAGATTAAAGTTGTGCTTAAAATATCTCCACTAACAACTTTCTGTCCTTCCCTTGCCTGTTTCTCTCCCAGGCCAACTACACAGACCCTCAGAGCAAGCTGCGGTTCAGCACCATTGAAGAGTTTTCCTACATTCGCAGGCTACCGTCTGATGTCGTCACAGGCTACCTGGCCCTGAGGAAGGCCACGAGCATCGTTCCCTGAGCCTGGGAAGTGGAGATGAAGTGGAAATGACCTTGAAAACAGACTCTGCCCTTATGGTTTTGTTTCAGGGAAACAGATGTGTTCTGCTGTCAATCCAAGAGTGTCAGCTCTGTGTCGTGCAAAGATTGTCTGGCTTTACCATGAGGGTCTTTCTGACTTTTTCCCTCCAAGTGTGATGTACCTCTTTTAAGTCATATTTCAGTTGTTGCAAGTAAAAATTGTTTGATAAGAAAATATAGTAAAATTACGCATTTAAATTAACTCAGGCAAGTCCCGGATTTGGTTTGCGAGTTGTAAACCCTTGTCAAACATTTTCAATGAATGTGCAATGAAAACACAGGTCTGGATCGTCCTGGACCTTGGCCAGCATGTCAGCCCTTCCCCGGATCAGAAACTTCTCTTTTCTGCTGTGCTGGCAGGAGTTGGAAACTTTAGAAGACTTTATCCATCATGGCATGCCTGCTGGTGATTTGTCTCTGCTAAAGCCCAAAGGATAAATCCAGCCTTAAAAGGAAAAGCAGTCGAAGAGACAGATTTTGGAGGCCCAGCAATTAAGATCACCTATTGCTTTTGTAGGGCACCCACGTTTGGTTCTTAGTGCTCACATGGTGACTCCCAACTGTCTCTAACTCCAGTTCCAGGGCATCCAACCCCTCTTCTGACCTCCAAGGACACAGAGTGTGTGTATACATATGCACATGTATGCAGACAAACTCTCGTAATTATAAAAATAATATGAATATTTTTTAAAATTTGTGTTTTCTTCTCAAGACCACACTGATATCCACACTGCTCTGACGTGAGTCCTGCTAATACATGCTGCATGTCTCCACTGTAGAAGAGGAGCCAAGAGGTACACCTTAGAGTGGCCAGATGTCAGAGACTCTGCTAGAGCGGGGAGAGGAGAACCATGCCACGGTCGTTACTTTTCCTGCAGTGACCACATGTCTGGCATGGAGGATGCGTGTCCACAGCTGTGGGGCAGGCATGAGGCAGCTGGCCACACCGCAGCCACGGCCATGAAGCAGAGAACAGACAAAAGAGGATGGGAATACCCCCGAGAAGATGTGTGGGGATACTTACGTTCACTTTTAATCGGGATGCTGGTGTCACAGTGTTAAAGGAATGGGTTCGTATTTTAGAGACAGAGGCTAACACATTAATGGACAGAGCAGTGTGGTATCTGTGATTTGTTTTAGGATGACGTAGGAGAGAGGAAATAGATGGAAGTAGTGTTGAGACAAGATTGGCCGTGAGTCAACTATTGTGTGCTAAGTACACGGAAGTTCATTACACTGTTCTACTCTGTGTGTGTTCTAATTTCTCCATAATAAACTTAACAAGGATGTGGTATTTTTATTGCCAACAGTTGAATAGGGAAAGTACCCACTTTCTGAAGCTTCTCAAACAAAGAGGAGATTAGGGAGAAAGAACCACAAGGCAGTGACATTGTCCTGTCAGTGGTCCGAATCGAGGTCACCTTTGCTGTCTTGGAGTCAGAGAACTGTGTGGGTCAGCTTTCTGTTGCTGTGTCAAAGACCTGAAAAAAGTTGGAACATTCACGATCCAGTCACCTCTCAAGTGAGCCGCAGTTTGGGGACCAAGCTTTCAGTGCATAAGCTTTTTGTGGGAGCGGGGGTACTGGCAGCTTTTTGGGTATAGTAAATCATAGGAGACAGGGTTTGGGGTGCATCGGGATGGCTTCTGTGGCTTGAGGAAACACCTGTCAATCGTACTCCTGACAGTAGCTGCACATGAGGTCTGGAATCTGTCAGCACAGATCCATCTGTTCTGTCTACAGAACTTCCCAGAGAGCTGAGCGAGGAGTATGGCAGAAACAGTCAAACGGATGCATGCAGAACATCGTATTCAATGTCTGGCATTGTCCCTGAAGGGGCCTTTTCTGTAGAAAGGCCACAAACTCATCTTTATCTCTGGCTAGCAGTTTCCTCCCATTTGTTGTCACGACTGATAACAGTCACCGAGGCTGGGCTGGCCTACTGCAAAAAGCCCTTGTAATATTCCACGCTGCAAAACCCCAGGCCGCACTTGCCAGTGTGCATCCTGCAAACACACAGGAGGAAGTTTGATCGTCAAAGCACTGAGCACAAGCGAGCTGTTGGGGTGAGAGGAATTGCTGTCCCTGAACTTCAGCTGGGCTGTGCCTCACTGAGGAAGGAGGGGAGGAGATGCTGTCTTAGGGTTCATGGTGCTGTGATAAGTAAGCCACTGGGGGTGGGAAGCGTGCCTGTCAGCTTACACTTCCATCGCCTGGAGACAAGCGCTGATGCCCTGGCCACAGAGCAGTGCTGTTTGCTGGCTTGCTCCCCATGGCTTGCTCAGCCTGCGTTTTTATAGAACCGGGACCACCACAATGGGCTGGGCCCTCCCTGATCAATCCCTAATGAAGAAAATGCCCCATGTGCTTGCCCACAGCCTGATCTTCAGAGGTTTTATTTCCTCAGTTGAGGTTCCTCCTTTCAGATAACTGTAGCTTGTGTCAAGTTGATATAAAACTCGCCAGCACAGACACCGCTTGTGTCTGCTGCAGAAACATCCCAGGAGCTCCTGCTGCCCCACAGGTGAGCTCTTTGGCGGAGCACTCAGACCTGAGCTCGAGTTACATTTTGTTCCACCTCTACAACTGACCAACCCTGTGGTCTAGTCCAGTTTCTAGTTCAGTCTTAAGTTATTAATCCCTCATAAAATGTCCTTCTTGATAGACTCAAACAGGATTAGAGTCAAACTCAGAAGGTGACCTTCATTCAGCTCCTGAGGGTCTGAATGGGATCTTCTGCCTCCCTCAGTCTGTGTATTAGAAAGGCGGGTCTTTCCCGACCTGGACCTTCTCCTTGATTGTTTTTCTCATTCCTCTTGGATGGAAACTTGTAACCCACAGGTGGCAACTGGACATGCTGTGGCAGCTCCACCAGCTGGCCTGGGTCTGCTGGTTCTCCTCCTGCTTATTCTAGACACTCACTCTGCCTTTCATTCTGTGTGTTTTATAAGCCAGTTCTTTGTCATGGGTCAAAAGAAGGAGTAGCTGAGCAGCTAAATCAATAATGAGATGGGGTTAAGGATGTCGCTGGAGTGGCCGAGCGCTTTGCCTCGCATGCTCAAAGCCTGGCGTCCATCCCCAGCGCTACTGAAAACCACCCCTGTGCACACACCTCTAATCCCAGCGCTCTGGAGGTAGAGGCAGGGACTCAGAAGTTCAAAAGTCAGCCTAACTACGTCGTGAGCTTGAAGCTAGCCTGGGCTACCGGAGGAAAGGAGAAAATAAACATGATCTGTAACGGAGACCAGGAGGGAGTGAGGCATGGTGGGTAGTGAGCAGAGACCCTGATGGACAAGTTCCTGCAAAAGCAAGAACAAGGAGCCCAGCAAAAGTGTTTGCTGAGCCTCCTCACCACCCTTAGCCCTTCATGCCTCCTTTCGTATCCCTTGTGTATCCTGCCGTTGTCTATTCCCCGTGGATAACAGGCCATAAACGCTTAAAGGCAGACAAAAATGAGGGCTAGTGGTCCGCTTGTGCTGGTGACTGGGCAGGGTGGAGACAGGGAACTCTTCTACTGTAAACACAGAACTCCTGGATCCACCTGGGTTTCTTCCATGACTCAGTGGTCTCCGTTCCAGCTGCAGACAAAGCCCTTCCTGGAAGAGCCGATGTTTTCCTGGCCTACAGGATGCTGGCTGCTGACAGGTGCACAGTGGGCACTGAACACAGCTCTCCCCCTACAGGGGTCAGAAGATGAGTCACATCCACCAGCCTGGTGATTTGACGTCTTGGCTTGCTCCATCACGCACGTGGGACGGCCTGGCCTAGGGTTGTGCGGTGTGGAACACCGGAGGGCTTTTGCAGCAATCCAGTCGAGACCTTGGTGAGTGACATCTCCCCTCATAACAACTGGGGAGGAAACTGGAAGCTGGAGATAAAGAAGAGAGTTTCTGGTCTTTTCAAAGAAAGAATCTATCCAAAGACAGCACAGAGTACTGCGTACAAAGTGTACAGTTGCCCGCACTTCTTACTCTACTGTGGTAGGCTTTGTAGAGAAACTGTAGCCTGATTATTTGTGCGCTGAGTGCTCATTTGTCCTTCAGTGAAGGAAGCAGTCTCAGATATTGGGCCATTCACACAGGAAACATGGTTGAGCCTGCCCGGGGCCTCTGGGAAGGAGAGGGAGGGAGGGTGTGTGCTGACTCCGCAGGGCTCCATCGCTGACCACTTCCCTTCCGCCAGGCTCAGTGCCGCACCAGGCTTCTCATGTGCTGACTCCATGTCTTCCCCCTGTAGCCTCAGAACTGGGAACACAAGGAGCTTCTGCTATTGTCAGTTTACCCAGTGTGTGGTGTTCTGACATAGCGGCAGGAGACAGATCAGCATGAACACCATTTTATAGTCTAAAAAAAGTAAGAAACTATTGAAATGATTCCTGTCAATGGTTCCTGACAGGGAGGTCATAGGTGAATTGTTTGGGGGCGGGGTTGGCCAAGAAGGTGAGCTTAAATATTTGGAGAGAGAAATTTGCTTTAACTCAAGGTTAAAAGACTGCTGATGTTTCCCACCTCCCCCCACCCTCCGGAACTCAGGCTCACATACTTGGTGTGGGACCCACTCCCTCCTACTGCTTCACTGCATAAGCCCACCTCCTCCATCAGGACACGGGTCCCTTCTGTCCCCAAGTCAGTGAGCTTCAGCCATTGCTGAAGGGCAGTGGCCACTCCTAGGATAGCTCGAAGTATCTGTTGTCAAGTGTGTCGCATGCTCCCAGCAGTCCAGAGTGCTCCCCTCACACCCAGGGAGCCTGAAGTTCAAGGGTGAAACAGCCCAGTTCCCAGGGAGCAGCGAGGGTCACCAGCCAGGCCTCTCTGTCTGCGCACAGGGCACCTCAGTCTCTGCTTCCCCTGAAGAAGATTGGCATGGAGCTACCTGAAGAGGGTAAGGAGGAGACAGGGACTTTGTCTGGGTAAGCACACCCACGTTATCCTCAGTGTGTGATCCCGCACTGCAGTGATGGCCTCCAGGAACTGAGTCAAATGTGTCTAGAGCAGTGGTTCTCGACCTTCCTAATGCTGCGACTTCCTCACGTTGTGGTGACCCCCTGACCATAAAATTACTTTCACTGCCACTTCATAACTGTATTTTGCTAGTGTTATGAATTATGTAAATATCTGATATGCGGGATATCTGATATTTGAGCATGACAACCCACAGAGATTGAGACCCATAGATTGAGAAATGCTGGCCTAGATATTTCTGACGGGGTACTTTTGAGATGGGTCTCGGATCTTTGAAGGCCTCCAAGAAGAAGAAAAAGAATGAGATCCCCAGTACCTTATAGAACTGTGTGTCATTCCTGCTCTTTCCTGCAGCTCTCAAGGAAGAGCCCAGCCCCCATTCTGCTCTCGGTGACAGCCAGTTGTGTCGGTTGCTCTTGTAAGCAGGTCACAGGCTGTGTCATCAGTATTCACAGAACGTTATTGCCTCATTATTAACCACGAAGGAAACAGTCTTGGGGACCGTGGTCCATTCACCTAAGCTACATGAGAGTCGTGGCCCAAGCCTGTGCTGCAGCCTCTGGGAGGGGAGGGTTATCAGGGAGGAGTGTGCTGGCTCCCTGGCCTCCCCACCCCACCATCCTCATCCTGATGAAGACTCGCGGCTTTGCATCCTTGCTTCACGGTTCTCAGAACTGCATTCTGCATGTAGAAGCATGCTTCTTACGTCCCACTGGCGACTCTGGTCTAGTGTCTCCTGAAATAAGTTGTATCCAATGTCCCATTTCTTTTCCCACATCATGGCAAGCTCATTCTCAGTCCCTGTCACCAGTCATCCCTCAGCCCTCAGTTCAGCAGTTGCCTCTTCTGGAGAACTTCCGCACCCCTCCCTCCAGCCATCCTCCCATGGATCTCTGCACCGTAGTTGCCGTGTTCACTGAGACCCCTGTGGTCTGGGAGACCGACTCCATGTAGACTCTGAATGCAGCAGAGCTCTAGGAACATCTCTCGCGGGCTGGAGAGATGGCTCAGCGGTTAAGAGCACTGGCTGCTCTTCCAAAAGTCCTGAGTTCAATTCCCAGCAACCACATGGTGGCTCACAACCACCTGTAATGAGATCTGGTGCCCTCTTCTGGACTGCAGGCATACATGCGGGCAGAACACTGTGTATATAATAAATAAATAAATCTTATTTTAAAAAAAGAAACATCTCCCAGCTGTGGTGGTGCACAGCTGTCTTCCCAGCACTTGGAATGTAGAGGCAGGAGGAGGCATTTATTCCCAGATATATTTGGGTTTGAGACCAGTCTGGACTGCATAAGACACTGTCTCAAAAAAAAAAAAAAG